TCCCTTATTATTTTAATCCCCCCCTGTTAGAAGGAAAAAAGCCGGAGCCAAAAATAAAATAATCAAACGAGGGAGGGAAAAAAAAAGCCGGCTGTGCGAGGAAGAAGACATTAATCCCTCTCGGAGCAGCCGGGCGGGCTGGCGGCCGGGGGGCGGGAGCTTGTTTTCATTTAAAATGGGGTTGGCGGTGGGGGTGTTTAGGCCAGGGAGGATGGCCCCGGGGGCTCTTTTTTTTCTTTTAATTTTTGCCCCCCGTTGGCTCTTTCTTGTCTTTTCTTGTCTTTTCTTTTCTTTTCTTACACCTTCCCAAATGCGACCTATGTAATGTAATGTAATGTAACAGCACCCCCCCCCCCTTAAAAAATGCCACACGCGTCACCTTCTGCAAGGTAAAACGATCCTCTTTGCAAATTACCCACCCGGGAGGCTTCCTTGCTGCTGTTTTGATTCTTTTTTTTTTTTTTTCAAAAAAGAAACGTGACATTTGTCAGAAAGCCTGAATTGAATGAGCGCGTCTGCAGAGAGCTTGCAGTGTTTCTTTTCTAAAGGAAAAATGATTCTCTTGCAAGTCTGAAGAGATGAGTCACTCGCTCGAGTGTCCTGCCTCCGAAAACATGCTCAGAATGTTCCCTCGGCGGCGAGCGCTGCCCGGCCCCGGCCTAGGTGCAAGCTTACTCTGCCCTTACGGCTTGGCCCCGTAGGGAAGTGCACCAAACTGCACCAGGCTGTAATTCATGTCGGCGATGAGCCCCGGAGCTTGGCAGAGGTTTTAGAAATTATTTCTTGCTCCAGTGGGCAGTTGTGATTTGAACATGGGGAAACTTTACACTAAGAAGTTAATCTCCTTACTCCAGAGCCATCTCCCTTTGAGTTCGCAGGGTTATTCTATCTCCTGTGCTCCCCTTAAAAATATTTCTGAGGGCTTATTCTTAAATTAGGATCTTAACATTTATTTGATGCCTTTCCTTCTCACAAATAGTTAGTCAGTGATACTTTTAAGCATTTTGTTAAGTCAGTTGCTTGCTTTTTTTTTTTTTTCTTTTTTTCCCCCCCCCCCCCCCAGTGTACTGGACTTTGAAATACTGATGTCTTCTGCTTTGGTTTTAGTCTAGTTGTAGGTATTGTTGCTTTTAATTAACGAGCTAACAATTTGCCGCCTTAAATTTAATGAATTGTGTGCAACTAGGCAGGATCTTTGTAAAGATGTGATGTGGAAATTCCCTCTTTGTCCAATCGTTCCAAATAATAAAGCTCTAAACCTCATTATGAATACTTAGCAGGCCTCTTGAGTCATTTTGAGAAAACAAATGATGTCGAATACTGCTCTCCTACTGTATCTTAGCTTGCAAAGCAATTGGAGAGAAAAGTGCTTATTCTAGTCCACCTTTCCCCTGCAAAAAATATGAGATCTCTGGAACACTAATAATCTAATAGTCATTTTACAAGGCCTCATCTGTGTCTCTTATGTAACTGTGAAATAGCCAGATACAGTTGGCCGGGTAGATGTTGCCTATTTTCTCTCTGGCCTTCAACTGCGATATCTATGGAGGATATTTTTTCTTGAAAGAGAATATTTAATACTCCGTGGGTAACTAATTTTCAGCCACTTGTTCTTTGTGGAAGCTAATTCAGTTATTTAATTTTAGTCTGAATGGCCATTACATTGAGCCTAGGGACTATTACCCTTTCCAAATAAAGGTATTCTACCATGTGTAGAGATCACCTTGATGCATATTTTTAAAAAGTAAAATGTATTCTACAGTGAGCAGTTCTTGTTCATTTTTCCTTCTTTCTTTTCTTTTCTTAGTATCCATGTATATTTTGAAAACTGCTTTTAGTACCTGCCTGGAAAGCGAAAGTTGTATCATAGTGCAAAGAGACATCATCCATCAGACAGAGCATTCAAATATGACTCATGCTAATTTGTTGCTCTGACATTAAGGCAAAAAATCTCTTAGCCTCTGGCGCTGGAAGTTCACAGTGCTGCTTCCTACCAGCGTGGGTCCTGAAAATACTGTTTTTATTTTGATTGCTATCCCCATGGAAAGAAAGTTTTACTCTGATACTTGTCCTGGAAGCCTTTTTCCAAGTGTTCAAAACATCGCAAAAATGTTGACTTGACATTAAGGCTAGGTCAAGTCAAACAGTGCCCTACAACTGGAGGAAAATTACTTGCAAAAGGCAGGCAGCAGGTGCTGTTTCACTCAAATGGCAAGGCTAGAAAAAGACAGCCTGATCCTTCTTTGAAAGGCTCTAGTGCAGGGAATCCTTGGAAACTGACACACATCGCTTGTTGCTGAAAGGTTTTGTTAAAAAGAGGGTATGGGTAATAACATTGGAGTATCTGGGAATGAAGATAAGCAGCCTTCTATAAGCAGTGGCTTCATAACACAAAGCCTCATGAATCTATGTTGTTTCATGTGACACATCTATATCAGTTTGATAGGAATAAGTGTATTATTATCTTGGCGTGCTAATGGATCTTTAAGGCTTAAATATGTCCATAAACTGCATAAGTTTGAACCTTGTCCAAAGGATTTGGACTCCCTATTATCCGATCTGCTCTGTCTGCCTTTGAAATTGTATATCTTGAGCTATCTTAGGATGTTAACCATTTGTACTCTGTATGAAGACGCATTCACTCTGGCGTAGCTGGAAAAGGGTAAGGCTCTGAATACAAAGCTCTTAATTAAGTTTCTGCTGGTGCTTCTGAACAAGTGTGTGTGGTTTTTTTTTTTTCCCCTTGGGCCAAGGCAGCTGGAAAAAAATAATAAAAATGTACTGTTTATTCAGTATGTGAAACTTGCTGGAGCTTGTGTTCTTACGTTACATTGTATCCAGTGCAGCATCTCTGTGTTCTTACAAACCAGGACCAACTTCATAAAACTTGGACATCCAGGAAGGAAAATACAGGGAGGTCACATAGGTAAAAACTGTCTGGAAAAGATGAGCCTGTCCTGTCTGCTAAGTTAGAGCACTTGGGCTCTGTGTTTGTATTACCTGCCAAAGCACCCTCCCTCTGGTTCTTAAGAATACACCTGAAGGGTTTGTCCTTGGTATATCCACGCTTAACAGGGCAGCGTTCAACCTGGCTGTTAACTCCAAAGTTTCAGAATAGACCTGAAGCACAGGGAAGTGCATAAAGCACCCTGTCTGTTACTAGTAAGCTACAAGTAATGTCAGAGGGAAGAGCTTGAGTTAAACCATGACCACTGAGTTAAAGAGACCACTGGCCAGGCAGGTGCAGGGCTTGAACAGGGGAAGCTGTAGCCAGCATATGAGCATCCAGAGCGAAGGAAGATTTGCACTGAAGTCCTAAAAACCCTTTCTTGCAGATGCTGAGTACTGTAGTCACTGTCTCTGGTTGTTTGTGTGCTGTAGAAGCAAAAGAACTGGGGCTTGGATGCCACCAAAAAAGAAAGTCACAAAGTGTGCTTCCGTAAAGACTGAAGTCTCAAAAGAGTTTTAAGCACTTGACTATTGGGTGAAATGGGAAGAATTTTAATTTGAATATGCAGAATACTATGGATCCTGATTAAAAAGTAAGAGCTGGCAGACTCTTGTAGACTCCAAATCAGTACAGCGGAAGCCTGCAGAGTCCCAAATGTGGGAAGGCTGTTAGATGAATTACGTGTCATTTGCTAAAGGAAAACACAGAAAAAGAGTTTTGGAAAGATGTGACACTAATTGAAGTATAAGTTTCCATGCGCTCCTCTTCATGCCACAGGCTTCCTTGGTCGCACTGAAGTGGCTGAACTGATTTAAAATTGGTCCAGTATGTTGGTGCAGAGCTCTAATACCAGCATGTTTAAACCACCCTTAAACCAACTTAGTTTAATGTGATACTAAGCTAAGCTATATTAAGCATAGCTTCAGCTAGCACAAATGTGTCTGTCTAAACTGGTTTCAAATTGGTTCGGTTACACCAGTGTAAATTATACTTTTTGGAATAAATGGTAGTTTTCAATACCAATACAAGGTGGAACAGTCTCGGTAGCAGAGGCTGCAGGTGGATAGAGTAATGCCTGTGGGAGCATTAGAGAAATCTCTAGCACTCTGCTTACACTGATGTTGCAGTCTAGGGTCATCTACCATTTATCAGTTCTGTTTTAAAAAAGAGAAACTCGCAGTTGTTGCCTAAAATTGCCAGATTCCAGTTCTTAGTGATTGATTAACCCTTTTCCTCACTGGCAAAAGAGTTGCTTCTGAAGACAGAAAGAACATGTTTTAATTTCATTAGTTCCCCAAAGCAAAGAGGACCTTAGTTGTGCAGTGAGAGAGCCCGTTGAACATACCAGTCTGAATCTAGCGTGGAAGAGTTCTTGATACAAGTTACATAAGGGTGGTTCCAGTACTGACAAGCTAGTGCAAACACATTTATTTAAGTAAGATGTCTCATCTCTTCCTGGCTCACTATGGCTGCAGTTTAGCTCTTGAAAGGGTTTTTAAACGTAACCACATGCGAGGTTAGTATTAATGGTTCGAAACCTGGGGTCAGACTATGTTGTCAGCACCACCCCCAGCATAGATGCATAATTTCCTGGTACAGAGCTAATATCACAGGCATTATGATCACAAAAATAACAAGTGTCATTTACTTAGAACTCAAGCAATATGCTAATGAAAAGCCTGACAAAAACACCAGCATTTTCTATGAGAAATGTTGCCCTCAGGAAATTTAAAAAATTATTTGCTGTGATGTATGCCTTCCTACACTTGTTCACTACAGAATCTTTACAGCACATGTATTTTAAAGGGCAAATGGTTTATCCTATCGGGAAATTGTTGGTGGAATTATAACCTCATACCCTTTCTAGTTGAATGACTGCGGACTAAGATTTGGTAAATGTTTTCACAGTATCAAAGCAAATGCTCGTTAATAAAAATTTTTAAGTGTGAATGTTTGGTTTTAGGCACATGAAGCCTCACATCACCAACAGCAGGCAGCACAGAACAGTTTGTTGCCTCTCCTGAGCTCTGCTGTTGAGCCACCTGATCAGAAGCCGATTCTGCCCTTACCAATAACTCAGAAACCTCAACCTGCACCAGAAACATTAAAGGATGCTATTGTTGGGATTAAAAAGGAAAAACCTAAAACCTCCTTTGTGTGCACTTACTGCAGCAAAGCTTTCAGGGACAGCTACCATTTGAGGCGCCATGAGTCCTGCCACACAGGGATAAAGTTAGTGTCACGGCCAAAGAAAACTCCCACCACAATGGTGCCCCTTATCTCGACCATCGCTGGTGACAACAGCCGAACTTCATTGGTTTCGACTATTGCGGGCATTTTGTCAACAGTCACTACGTCTTCCTCTGCCACCAACCCCAGCAGTAGTGCCGGTGCAACCGCCATGGCAGTGACTCAGACAGTGAAGAAGCCCAGCAAACCTGTCAAGAAGAACCATGCTTGTGAGATGTGCGGAAAAGCCTTCAGGGATGTGTACCACCTCAACCGGCACAAGCTGTCCCACTCGGATGAGAAACCCTTTGAATGTCCCATTTGCAATCAGCGCTTCAAGAGGAAGGATCGCATGACCTATCACGTGAGGTCTCATGAAGGTGGCATCACCAAACCGTACACCTGTGGTGTTTGTGGAAAAGGCTTCTCGAGGTACCATGTAGAAAATCCCAGGCGAGCTCAAGTATTGGCTTTTCATAATCAAGAAGGGTTAAGCTATCATAGCGAGGGGCTAGGAGAGACAGACATCTTAGAAGATTGGTGAGGGAATAAAGAACCTTGTGTTTGCGTCTGGGGCACGGGTCTCAGTCTAAGCCACTTTGGTTGCATCGTGAAAGCTGTCATGATTTTATGACTTGTTTGCTCTGAAATTACCTGGTTACCTCAATCCAGGTCATGCTGGACAGATGTCTCCATCACAAATGGTGCTAGTGGGAGCCCTTATTAACAACCTTTGAAGAGGTCAAGAGCCAAATGAGGCATGAAGACTGACCTGTCTTCTTGCCTTTAACTTAACTTCACCTAGAGCAGAGTTGGGGTTCATTGATGGAGCAGTGTGGGGAAGCTTGCACTGTTGCTGGATGTGCTGTACCTGCTTGTGGGATAGAGAGAACTCCAAGCTCTAAGGTTGATAACCCAGCACTTTTGTATACCAGTTTTAAACATTCAGTAAGTACAGTGCTTTTGGGCTTATGATAAAAATGTGGCTGAGTTTTAAACTTTTCAGGTTGGGTCCCAATAAGACTATATTTTTCTAGCAGAGGGCCACTTTATAGGTAAGGGGAGTGTATTTTATTTTATTTTATTTTTTTACCTTGTCCTTGAGGGGGGAGTTGGCTGAAAAAGGGCAATCAATGCAGTGTTCAATGCCGCCAGCTTAAGTGTCATTACTATCTGTTTGTAACAGTATGCGTATTCTGTTTTCTACCTCTCTTCTTTCACAGGCCTGATCACTTAAGCTGTCATGTCAAACACGTTCACTCAACAGAGAGACCCTTCAAATGCCAAGTAAGAGTTAAAACAATTTATTGTGTCCTTAGTCAGACAGCATCTGAATATTTTGCCCAGGTCTGTGTTAGTTGATGTAGCTGCTCTGAATGCAAGTTTAGAAATAAAGCCCCATCCATCCTGCTTGTAGTGGTGATCCAAGTTTAGCAGTAACTTAGGAGGATGCTTTGTCTGTCCTTTTGTAAAATTGAGGCTTTTTGACAGTAGCACTGTCTAAACCCTACTGCTCAGGTCAGGTTTGCTTTTTAAAAACAGCTCGATTAAATCCTCAAATAGACACTGATTGCTGTAGCAATACATGGGACTTATTTAGCAGTGTTAATAGATAAATGTAATTGTAAAAATAGATTGTTAATATTGTATCCTTTAGCTTAGAAAGCAAAGCAGAGTTTAAAAAATTGAATAAATGTAGTTGGTTCTAGATTTGCTGTTTTGCCTGGAGTGGAAAGCAACTTGTCACAGTGAAAATACGTTGAGGACTAAAAGCAAGAGGAGTAACTTGACTAGCCTTGAACAATTAACTGTTCTGCTGGTTTGTTTGGAATCATCCCTACTCGTCCTAACCTGTTTTTAGTGACTCATCGTGCTGAATAAAGAGTGGCCTTGAAAAATGCTTTGTTTTTTCCCTTCCCAAATTTAGATGGGAACTAAATTAATTGAGCAATAAAAAAAGCAAAAAGATACAGTGAAACCTTTATGTGAGACCTCCTCCCTCCCTTACCTGTTTAATGTATTTATGTATAAGTCACCTCTCATTTTAGCATGTGAGGTAATCATCTGCTTTATGAAACTGCTCCAAAGTAGCCCCAAAAGCGTGGAGTACCGTTCTTTCTTACTCTTATCAGCAGACTAGTTTCATAAAGCAGTCAGATTAAGTTTCAGTCACGTGAATGGTAGTTTGAGAGAGGTTTCACTGTGTCTATGTGAAATGAAAAAGTTTGTCAGCGTGTCAGGGTACAGTAGCACCTAGAAAATGGGCTTAAAATTGGCACGTGGCCCCTGCTACAACAGTATGGTCTGCATTTAAAAATTGCTGTTGTCCTTCATGTAGACATGCACTGCTGCCTTTGCCACCAAAGACAGACTGCGGACACACATGGTGCGCCATGAAGGAAAGGTATCGTGTAATATCTGTGGTAAACTTCTGAGTGCAGCGTATATCACCAGCCACTTAAAGACACACGGGCAGAGCCAAAGTATCAACTGTAATACCTGTAAACAAGGCATCAATAAAAGTAGGTGAACTGTTTTTAAACCTTTTTTGATAACACTGTGTTCTCAGAATTGTGCAACACGCATTGCCTTTGACTTCCTTAATGTAAAATATACCCGTGACTGTCTAGGTGTTCACACCTATCACAAAAAAAGATCTTTCAGAAATAGATTCTTCGTGAAAAGCTTCGACTCAACAAACTGGGGTATGTGGACCTCTGGTATGGCCTTTCCTCATAAAGGAATGCCCTTCAAGGAGGGAGCGTAATTCCTCACGTTAAAGTATGAAGAGCCCAAGTGCTTTGCCTTTCATCTTCTGAGGACAGTAGAATTCTTCATACGCTGCATCCTGAACTAGGAAACTTTGGTGTCCATGAGTCTCAATCAATTATAGAATGCGTGTGACTTTGAAAATGTTGCAAGTATTAAGTTCAGGATTTGGAGCCTGATCCAAAGCTCATTGAAAGTCAATGGAAAGTATCCCATAGATTTCCATGAGCTTTGGCTCAGAGCCCTCAGCATTTTTCCCTTGCAGCAGTTTACAGGACACGCATTTAAAGCCTGCATTTTCATGCCCTGCCTGACGTGTTTTGAGCACTGCTGGTATTTGGCCTCTGTTATGCAGCAGGTCAGATAAAATGATTCCTTCTGGCCTTAAAATCTCTGAGTATCCTCAGTTGTTGCAGCAGAAATGCTGAATCCTGAGCTTTTGAGTGCCAAGTAAGCAAAGGAGAAACTGGCTTTCAACCACTTGCTCTGAAAAAGTATTTGTATTAAATGAACACACACCATTAGTCATTTCGGCTGGGAGTTTTGAAAGAGCCTTAAGGGAGCTGTGTGTAACCAACCCCCTTGGGCTCCTTTGAAAATTCCATCTTTGAAGCCTTCAAACACTGTTCATTGACAAAGGATTTTCTATTCTGATTTCCTATTTGGTGTTAATTCCTAGATGGTTGAGGTCGTGTGGGCTAGCTAGTAGTTTTGATCACTTATCTACTGAACCCGATAGAGAAAAAAAAAAAAGAAAACACAGATTAATTTTTTGGAAATGTAAGGGTTGCTAGATTATGTTCTCATTGTTCACATGGTGCTAACCCTTCTGCCTTTTGGTATCAGTTCAATAACATTACATGTTACGGAACTTGCAATGGGCAGAGCTGGGAGTGGCAGATGCTGTCGTGTGGCCGGGGAGCAAACAGTTATTTTCCAACAGAGAAGTGAACTGAAAATACTGTATGGCTGTAATTCCAAGACGAACAAGGAGAAAGTAATTTTAAATCATAGTTCTGAATTTTAACCAAACTCAAGACAAGTGCTGCCTTTAGATCTAGAGAAAACTGAACTGTGCAAGTACCAGAGAATCATTCTGTCTTTACATCCTACGTCTTAATCTTTTTATTTGCGGTCCTTGACCTGCCACTTGATTTTGCCTGAAAACTCAGGAAGGTTAGAGCTCAGGTTTCTCTGGATCTTAGAAAGGTGATGTTATAAAGCATAACACAAAATAAAGGTTTTGCCTGCTTCTCCCTTTCACAGGATTCCAAACTCCTTTGTAGCTTTAGGAAAAACCATCGTCCTTTCTTTAGGAAAATGCATATCTTTTTCAAGGTGAATTTGTGTGTTCTTACTTGATTGACATAGCATGCATGAGCGAGGAGACCAGCAACCAGAAGCAGCAGCAGCAACAACAGCAGCAGCAGCAACAGCAGCAGCAGCAACAACAGCAGCAGCAGCAGCAACAACAGCACGTATCAAGCTGGCCTGGAAAGCAGGTAGAGACACTGAGATTATGGGAAGAAGCTGTCAAAGCAAGGAAGAAAGGTAAAACAAACAAAATCTATGATCTTGGAGTACTTGGTTTTATCAAACCATCTGAACATGTTGACAAGAAGAAAGAGTTTTTATATAGGTGTAAAATAGCACAAATAGCATATGGATTTATGGCACATGAAAATTTAATTCCTAGTAATAAAAGCCAGAGTAACTGTAGGGGGTAACACTATCAAAACCAGAAGCCCTTGCTAATGCTTCCTTCTCAAATGAACTTCTTTCCATCTTACTTGCTGTTGGAGTCTGTCAATGAATGTGTACATAAACCTTTTGCAGTTTGAGGGAGCTTTAAGTGTGCTCAAGGGCAGAGGCTTTTTGATTTCTGCCTGTCTTTAGCACATACACATACAGAATCTCTTTGTGGACATCATTTTGCATTAAAGCACTTTTCATTGCTCCTCTGTCCTTTTTCTCCCACTTTCTGCCATTCATTTTAATCCTTGGCTAAACTGTATTTGTCCAAAGTCTGCCAACATTCAAAAACTTATTTATTTATTTATTTATATTTTGCTGCTTGGTATCATTCATTCATTTTCATTACCAAATTAAACAACATATTTGCTATTGCCAAGGCACAGCTCATCTGCCCCTAGCCTACTGAAATCAAAGTTGAATAGCTTCCTTTTGTTGATCACTGTGACTGTTGTATGAGGAATAGATTGCTTCCATTTAGTGCCTTTTTTGGAGTATAGTAGTTTGAAATCTCCTGTTACTGTTAATGTATTCTTTTCACAAGTTTGGTTTCTAATACCTATCACATGGCTTCCTTGGATTAAATGTTTTATGCCAAATTCCTCGTATCCCCTTGGGGCTTTTCATTAACTCTCATTTTGAAACAAATATTCTGCACTCACCTTTCCCTTCAACCTCACCACAGTTCCTCCATACTCTATCATTCTGCTCTTTATAGTTCCCATCTCTCTGATGACTCCTACCAGTAAGTTTATTCAATTTAACGATAAGACGGTAATGTTAGGAACAAGCAGTGTTTTTTATATAAAAAAGAATGATTGTAGCAAAGCATTTGAATTTATTCATCAGTCCTCAAATGAAGTGGGAGGTATAGAAAAATCCAAATGAGGCTTGTTCTACCCATTCTTTTTTGTGCCTTGTTTCTACTTTCCTGCTTTCTTTCAGCGATATTATGCAATGTGTTTGTTACCAAAAAAAAGATAATGACACTAAAAGGAAGTAGTGGGGGGTGGGGGGGAACATTGTGCCAAGCTTCATAAGTCTCAAGCTAGTAATGCTGGTTTAATGAAGTTGTCATGTCCAAGGACCACTTTGCTTATTTTGGGAAAGGATGGGAGGATGTGCATTTTCCCGTTTGTGTATTTTGGGTTGGGGAGATTAAACTAGACCAGTCAGTTTCACTTTTATTGATAATCTTTTTCACACCAGTTCTCATAAACTAGTGCCACCTGCCAGGTTGGTTTGACAACACTGTGGAAGCTGTTTTTTTCTTTCAAACTGTATTTTTAATTTTGTGACTTTTATTTTTTCTTTAAGTCCCCATTTTCCCCCATACATTAATATTGACCTGAACAGCCAACAGGGACCCTTGAATGGGGCTAATGTTGCTGTCAAAGAAAGCATTGTCTTAATACATTTGTAGAGCTTTTATGGCAAGGGTGGATTTTTCGGCTCTTAGTTTACTTCTTGAAATACAGATGTAGACTGAGCTTGGTGTCTACCCTACAAATGTGGAACAAGACATGTTTTTGGAAATGCCATAACGTTGATACAGAATATGTTTTTGTCTGTTTCTTTAGCAGTCATCCCTTTCTTTTATCCACACCCCCCACCCCCCCAGCCTGCTTCTGTTTTTGGATCTTTGTTCTATGGCTAACCAGCAGGTGGTGCTGATATCTAGTGGAGTCATCTGCCTCTTCTCTGGAGCCTGGCTGTATCATCTCCACAAAGTGTCCAGCCCCTGCTAGACCCAACTGGGAACAGACCTAGGAGCATCCATCTCAGTGCAGGGTCCTCTTGGTTCTTGCCTGTTTGACACTAGTCACTGCTTATTGCAAAACAGAGTAAAATATTGGTGTGGAATTGTAGCTAATGTAAATGCTGAGGAGATAATGGGGGTTATAAGATCTGCTGGCTGGGTGTTCTTGAAAAATGCTAGGATAAATTTACCATGAGCAGTGGAACAATTTAGCAGAAATAATTAAGACTGAAATAAGCAGATAAATATTGAAACCAGCTTTGCTTATCAGTCCCTAATAATGACTTTTTAAAACCTTCACAGAATGTCAGTTCACCTTTGAGAAGGCTATAGAGTACGTACCATTCGGTATGTACACTCTCTCCTCTACTTATAATGTTCCTCTTGAGAGGATTTTTCTGATTGTACGATACTGTTTTTGTGAACATCAAAACCCTCTTTATAAGACAACCTCGCTTGACTTCCCAGGAAAGAATTTGAATTCAAATGAGCTGCATGAAAGTTATATTTATTGTAGGCTGTAGAATGTTAACAGTTTAACTTACTAATATTTTCTAAAGAAAATTATTCCAGAACTTGTTGTTGTTTGTTTGGTTTCATTTTTATTATTATTATGATTATTATTATGATTATGAGTATTATTATTTTAAATCTTGTCCATAGTTTTTTATGTGTTAAAAACTTTTTGTCTTTTTATGTCTCATTTTTAGAAGCTGCTAACTTGTGCCAAACCTCCACTGCTGCTACTACGCCTGTGACTCTTACTACTCCATTCAGTATAACGTCCTCTGTGGCTTCTGGGACTATCACAAACCCAGTCACAGTGGCAGCTGCAATGAGCATGAGAAGTCCAGTAAATGTATCAAGTGCAGTTAATATATCCAGTCCGATGAATCTAGGGCATCCTGTAACTATAACAAGTCCATTATCCATGACATCGCCATTAACGCTCACAACACCAGTCAATTTACCTACCCCAGTAACCGCTCCGGTGAATATAGCGCATCCAGTCACTATAACATCTCCTATGAACCTCCCAACACCAATGACGTTAGCTGGTCCATTAAATATAGCAATGAGACCAGTAGAGAGCATGCCTTTCCTGCCCCAAGCCTTGCCCACGTCTCCTCCCTGGTAAAGAATTTCTAAACAGTATTAAAGAGGATTAAAACTGAATCCTTACCAGCAGTTTTTTTAGTTGTTAATAATAATAATAATAATGAATAATAATAATGATGTAATAATAAAGTCAAGCTGAGTAACTGGGGCAGTATGCACCAGTCAGAGACCATAATAGCATCTTTTCCTATTGATTTGGCTCATATTGTTTGAATCTGAGTTTGTAACTGATCACTGGAGCACTTCATTAAAAGCCAAGTTTTACCTTTAGCTGACAGTGATGCTGAACCTAGGACAGATGGTTACTTGCCAGTTACAAAGCAGTCTTTAAGAATCAGCATTACTGTTTTACCCCAGAAATGATAACCTAGAAAATAATTTTAATCTAAACACTAGCAAAGAACCCCCTTCATGTCCTTGACAGGGTGGATAGCTAAATTTAACTTGCCAGTTCTAAATTCACTGTTTCAGAGCTAGTGTAGTATTTTTGTCTGTGTTAATGTTTTGGTTTTTTTTTTAATGAGTAAATGCATTATAATGTTGTCATTTTTTTAAAAAAAATGCATTTTGGAGAAAATATGCATTTTACCTTTGGGAATATGATAATTTCAGGCAGCATTCCCTATGGGAAAGGTGATACCAGCTCTGATATGCAAAGCATATGATAACTTATCATTCTCACTTCAACATATAATAGGGATTGTGACCTGATATTTGGAGATGTAAATATTACCCAACATATTACCCTAAGGGAATATAGCATTGTAGTCAACATTTAAAAAAAAAATAAAAATAAAACTTAATGTTTGGTGAGAAACAGCCATGGCTGACAGAAGAGGAGTTGAAATGTATGTAAACATGGTCTCTGAAAAGTCAGAACCCTATGGGACTCTTATTTAGGAGCAAAAGGAGTGCTTTGAACTTATGAAATATTGCTTTAAGCTGGAAGATTCTGGAGGCGCTGGGGTATGATGTATATGCCCTCTCTCTCCCAATCAGAACCTGCTGATGATGCAGCAGGGGACAGATGTGTTAGTTGTTCACTAGAAGTTTTGTCTTATATTAAATTGTATACAGTTTTTATTCTAACCACTAACTAGGTAGGATGCCCCTTCAGGACAAGCCGAGAGCGTCTTTTAATTTCCCCCCTATTTCTTAATCAAGTGTTGTGCAAATCTCTTCAACTTTGTAAATATTTGCAAACATCATCATTTTTACGTTACTCTTCTATTGTGTTAACACATTTCTATTAATTTGTGTGGGTTTTGGGGGCGGCAGTCTGAGCTGTCCAGCCCAGAACTGCACCACAAATGATCACACATGTTTAAACTACATGTGCTTTTTATTTCTTAACCTGTTTATCTGTACATAAAGTAGAAAGCAGAGTCTAGGGAAACAGATATACTTTTTAGACTATCATGTCACATATTCACATTTTTAAAACTTTGTTTCAAAAGAACCCCCTGAAACCAAGACTTTACATGGGGGAGGAGGGGGGGAAAGAGAAAAAACCGCAACTAAAGTTGCAATGTTTTTCTCTCAATGAAGTTGAAAGCAATGGAGATTAGTGTGCGTGCATTTTACAGAATGCTAGCAGGACTGACTAGTCAAAATGGACTGCTTCCGTTTCTACCCCACCGTGTCAGTACAAGCAGCAAATACCAGACTTCTAGGTCAGGTAACAGGTATCTGTATCATTATGTGAAACAGTTCTAGGGGCTTGGACTACATAGTAAAACAAAAAACAAAAAATAGAACTTTAGTGTAAAATAATTTTATAAATGATCTTTTGTACTTTAGGACATCAAATTGTACAACTTTTGTATATATAAAAGCTTAGGAACTTTCTGTTTAGCAGAAAGGAAACACATTCCTACACTTTTAATGTATATGTTTGTTATAATGTCCATGTAAACATATGCCCTATGTTTGTGCCTTTTAATTAGTTTGTCTCAATAAACAAAAATGTAGAGAAGAATATGTAGCTATGACTTTGTTACCACTGCTTTTATTCCAACAGTACAAAAATCTTTGTTTTTCTCACTGTAGAGCATTGCGTGCAGACAGCTGCATGAGCTAGATTGATGTGGCCAAAATGAGGCATGTGAATCAAATGCAGCCCAGCAAAATCCATCACTCTCTCCCCTTTAGTGTAGTGGTCCAAGCATGATGGGGTGTTGCATGCTGGGATATGTAGTCTTCAAGCCTTACATCTCTATTATGGATGAAAGTGATTTCAACTTTCATCATTTTCACAAAGTAGGTACAGCCTTCTGGCTCCTGGCAAGCTGCTAACAAGACCCGCAATTAGGTGAAGTTTGGGTGTCACTGAGCTTAAAACCAATATGGAAATGTGTACCTAGAAGTGGTTATCTATGAATTACTTATAATAAACAGGTGTGAGACTTCATTGTATGTTGTCAATTAATGCAATATTAACAGTGAATCCTTCACTCAGCTTGTATGCCCCAATAGTTTCTGTTGACAGGAACACACCCATTAAAACACTTGCAAGGAGATTCCTCATTGTGATGGAGAAATGAATGTTTCTCAAACCTGGTGCTCCTAGCATTAAGTGCGAGAAGCATGAAAAGACCTGTTTCAAGCCAAAACATTAAAACAAAAAGGGATGTACCTGATCTGCATCTAATAGGCTGTGTTAGCTAATCTCCAATCAGTTCTGTTCTTGGGGAAACGCTTGAATTTTTCTGTATACCAATCGTTTGCAGGTATGCTCCTTGACTGCCCCTGTGAAGACATGTTAATTACCTTCATGCAAAATACATCAAGCTGCTTTTGACAAGCTGAAGTTGACTGATCAGGCTTTATATGGTGCCTGCTACCTTTTAACCAAATGAATTCAGCCGATACTCAGGAAGGTAACAGGGCCGGGCACTGCAAAGGGGTGATGTGCTGTGATAAAACAGATGGGTGGATGATTTACAGAGTACTGAAATAACACCAGTTGCTGAAATCGCTTTTTCCCAAGTGATAGTTAAGACTAGATGGAAATTGTGCTGGATTTGATCCAGCATCTTGCCTCTGCGGACACTGGGTGCCACAGGAAGGTCCAATAATATAGCAGTAAGCAGATGTGGGTTCCTGATGAAGTTCCTATTTTAAACCCTAATGGTTAGAGATTGACTTAAACCTTGAAACATGAGGCATTTATCCTTTCAAGACACTTTGGGTGAAATCTGGCCTTTGCTGATATCCCTGGAGCCAGAATTTCACGTTCACATAATCAGTTCTAGATATTCTTGCTATGAGTGCAAACATCCAGTCCTTGTTGGAAACTTACGTTCCTGGTCCTCGCACCATCCTTTGGCTCCTTCTGACAGTTCTCACTGTGTCTCCGTGTGAAGGTGATGTTGCCTGACACTTCTTCCTGAGGGAATGGGACAGGCATACATCTTATTTTATTTTTTTAAACAAGTGTTTTATAATATGTACGGACTTGGCTTAGCAGAAATGGAATTTCTTCTGTCTCTGACATAATAGGAGTATGTGCGTGTGTATGTACGTACCCTGGTAATTGTTTTGCTCATTCACATGAAATATCCTGTTTTTCATTCTACTTCAGTTGTGTAAAACATTTGAGCTAATGCCAGTGAGAAGTTGCCATAGATACTATGACACAGTGGTCAAAACTAAATACTTGGAGAAGGTGTATCCAATTTCCCCTAAAGGCCAGTGCTGTTGGTTGTAACTTTAGAGTGATTTGCTCATGGAAGTGTTCCCTGCCAGGCACCACAAGCAGTAGAGCATCCTAGTTTAGTCTTGGATGTCCCAAGCGGATCTCCAGAATGCCACCCAGAACTTTTGAGTTGGTGCCAAAGAATTTCTCCCATCAAATTCCTTTCTTGAAAGAAAGATCAACAGGGTTGTCAGTGGAAGGACTTGTATTGACTTCAGTGAGATTTGGATCTGGCCCTAAATACCCACACCTCTGCCAACAACCCTTAATGTTGGAGGTAAGAAAGGATGGGATTTCCATGAGCCTGCAGTCATGGGGCTAACCGCTCCCATTAACCAAAGCAGTCTTCAGCATTGTTCTTGTCCATGGAATGAGTGCTTCTCTGAGGAGCCAAACTTCAGTTGGCATTGTGAAAAATAATCCTTTATATCAAAAGAAGAGGCTACCAGGTTATATGGCTCATCTGCTCAGCTGGCACACTACAAAACCATGATCAGTGAAAGCAGAAAGGGGAATCTGGTTCTAACCTGCTTAGAAGGCAATGTAGTTTGTTAGGGACATTAAAGCTGTAGAAACAAATTCTACAAGCATACACAAACTGGATCCATAGGAGGAGCCCCAGTAAACTCGCTGAGATAACTCCAACTCCTGTCAGTAAAGACACTTGGGTGCTCCAGTGTTTGCAGAAGCCGAGTTTTGTACTGTTAGCTCTTCAGATGTGCAAGCAACGACAAAAATCTTGGCTTCCTTTGTGCGTAGGTAAGCACCTAACAATGAAGATCGGATGCTTATTGAGGCCTCGGGGAACTGTTGCTGTAGAGATGACAATGATGATAAATAATGAATGGAAGCAGTAAGAGCCCAAGAAACAATGAAGATAGATAAATATTTTAATGGCCATTTGCTTGTTTGGAAGGCTGAGGTCATAAAACACGGTGTGACAGAGGAAATAAGTTAGACATGGGATACTTTTATGCCTGATCAGCCTGACAAAATACAGCTGTTGGAATCTTTTCTCTTTTTTTGGAGCATTTTGCTATCCACCAGTAAAAATCAAATCACCTCTGGCCAATAATCCAGCAAGCGTGCTTTTTAAAGCGATTTGATTTGTCTTTTTCAGTAAATATATTTCCTGGGAGTGGAAGGAAAGAGTCATATGATAGGCCTTTTTTCTCTTGAGTTTTTTTATTGTTTAAAAAAACACAAACTTATTTTAGTCATGACAATCAAGATAACAGTGAAGAGGACTTGTTTTGTGATTAGAATCCTTCCTGGGCTTTTTCTCATTGCACTTCACCAAGCAAATTATTGCTGCTAAATAATAGAAACCCTCTATTCTGTCCCAAGCCTTGCTAGAGACAAGTTGCTTAAAACCAGATTTTCAAAAGTATTCAGGGCCCGATCATCAGGTGCTCAATGCCCACAGCTGAGATTTCCAAAGGTGTTTCTATCTGAACACATACAAAAATGGCCAGATTTTCAAAAGTATTCAGCACGTGCTCTGCTGAACTCCAACAAATCTGCCCTATTTGGGAAATGAGCTCTTCAGATTTTTACCTATTCTCAGTGACAAGCTCTCCTAAAAAGTCTCTAGTTTCTTGGTGACTCAGCTTGCCCATTTGAGAAAAAAAAGAGGACTTAAAATGATCTAGTTCCTGGAAATATTAAAAAAAAGAACTTGTAAAGGTTTAATGAGGTGTTTCAGTCCCCTTCCTCATAGCTTCTGATGCAAATAAAAATACATCTTTTCTGCCTGACTGCTGGAGCAAAAATCAAAGAGGGAGCCCAGGGCAGGCTTGAAGTTGTTAATGCTTGTGCTTTTTGTTTCTACTTGGCTCATCCTATCCCAGATTCAGAGGGGTGGCACAGTGGTAACCAAGAGCAGCTAATTTTACAGTTGAAACCAATTTTCCTGTTTGAAAGTATGAGGCTCTGCTAATGTTTTCTCACCTAATAAGCCCAGTTGTTTTTTAATACACCCCTATCACCCCCCCACTTTTTTTTTGCAGTTGTGTTTAATTTGATTGTCAACTCCAGCTCTTAATCAAAAAAGGAAAACGTGCTTGGTTATTCAATACAGAGGAAGCTCAGTGAAAGCCCTGGCCCAGCTGTACAGCAGGAGAATTGGGCTCCGACTCTCTCTGGCTCAGTTTGTCTTTCTCTTAAGTACAAGGAAGTGAATTGCTGAGGAGTTGGTGCCAGGCTTCATTCCCTAACAGGCCATATTGTCCTGCTAAAGTCACTGGACATTTGGTAACTGGTTGAAGCAAAAGCAGCGGGTTGCTGTACGCTTTGCAAAGTTCTTTGAGCTCCTCAGATGGAGGCGCTGAGAAAGGGCCAAGCAATGCTATTGCTGCATTTTCTAACCGACCTTATTTTTAGAAATCTAGGCTCATATCTTTGGCTGAGGAACTAAGAAGAATGCAACTAAGGGAAATGCTTTTAAAACCTTTTAGTAGGGAACAAGGAGAGAGAGCATCCTGAAAACTACTCTAGCTTGTGCCATTTGCTTTAAGGGCCAAATACAGCAGCAGATGATGAGCAGCAGGAAAGAAAAAAACAAATAAAAAAAGAGGCATGGCATATGAACTGGTTCACTGACCTCTGCCACCAAAGCATCCCCCTGCTCTGGGATGAGTCTGAGTCAGGTTCGGGAACACTTTGCAGTGGTGGTATAGCACAAAGCAGTTGTAGGGCCATGTTGAGTCTGGGAATTGTTAAATGTAAATGTATCTTTTATCCAAGGAGCTAGAATGATGCTGAACAATTATAGCTCCTTCTGGATATTCCATACACCCTATTAAAAAGAAAAAAGACCCTTAACACTAAATACAAAATAAGCATTTAAGCAACAGCACCAAGCTGTCTTGATGTGTCAACTCCAAATCAATTTAGGGTTAAGGCCAATCTTTTGCCTAAAGTTTTTTTTTTTTTTTTTATCTTACCAGTGATTTGAGATCCTTCAGTTTTTTGGGCATCTGAAGTGACAGCACTCTGAAAATCAGATGCCTGTAAGATATTTCAATGTGGGCTCCTGAAATGAGTAATTAATCTTGCCAGTGTAGGCCCCACATTTAACTGGTAAATTTAAAATAAGTTTATCTAGTTTGTTTAATTAGAGGAGAAAAATGGCTATAATCTTCAGAGCATGTTTTATGAGAATGCCATGGTTCAGAGCGAAGGCAGGACTGTTAGCTTAATTTAGAGGCATTGGCAACTGTGTATAAAAAACACACATTCTGTGTTTCACATGCGATCTTCCTTTTCAAGTGATGATT